TAGCATAGATTATATATAATATCATAATTTTTATAATATGTCTTATATAAGGCCTGTTCTTTATACAATATAATTTTTAAAAAATAAAAGAAGATATAAATATTAATTTACATGACTTATTGATTATTAAATTGTATTGCTTTTGTAAGATTTTGCCTCATACCAGTTCTCAATTCCTGGTTTCTCAAGTCAGCAAAATGAAAAAATCTAATATTTAAATATCTTTAAAAAAATAGTATAAAACTAATAAATGATTACCTTTGAACAATTAATTTTACAAGAATTTGAAAATGGCTGTAACCAATCTCATGTTCATTAATATGTTCAGTAAGATCAATAAAAATATTTGTACCAATTATTGTGGAAAAAACCAACACTTCCATTTTTTTAATAATATTTTTACGTTTAATATCATTTTGATAAGTTCTAAATGAACTTTCACAAATTTGGCATAATATAGACATACTAGATAAAGGAATCACTAACCCCCCATTATTTTTAAAATTTATGAGCATATTATTTATATTATTATCAATATATGAATCACTGACCATTGCATTAATGCAAACATCACATCGTACCTTTTTTTCTTTAATAAGTTGTTGTACTATATATCCCGAAATATAAGTTGTTACATTATCTAAATATAATGATAATTTTGGGATATGAGGATTTGTTTGGCTAAAATAATAAGATAATGCCTGGGGTATTATTGGATTTGAAATAGTTTTGATAGAATTAAAATCATCGTCATGATTATTTTGAAAATTTGAACATATTAATTGAGTATTATCTAAGGAAATGCAATTTCCTGTAATTGTAGCATCCAATTTTGCCATTAAGGAAATGCGAACAGCAGATCGAACCTGATATGCTGATGGATTATCATTAAATCCACCTCTGCTACGAATACTACAAAAATATAATTCTAGGTGGTCTTGAGAGGTTTTATATGTTAAAAAGAACCTTAAAAAATTGTTATATTATAGCTTTATGAATAACTCTTGTTATAAATTAAATATATTACTTCATTTTTGGGGTTTCCCCAGTTAATAATTCCTTCCCCATTTCCAGGATGCTTTTCATAGAAAGAATTAACCCTTCTACACATGTTTTTTTATTAGACTTATAGACATAAGTTCCATTTGTTAACTTGAGTGATTTTAAAGTTTTAATGCACTTGTCAAAATGATTTTCATAATCTGCAATTGTATTATTATATAAAGGGGCTTTATATCCTTTACCAAGACAATTTCTTGTATTAAGATAATCAAACATTCTATAAGTTATTCATAAATTTATATCATAATTTTTATTTTACTGATCTATCATCAATATAAAATTAATTGTACCATCACAATTTTCAAATCCAGGAATCTCCTGATGCTGGGCAAAAAGAAGGCTATTTGCAACAGATGCACTAAAAACTTGAACAGCAAGTTTTACCTTAAAAAATATTTAATAATTATATATTTATTATCAAACTTTCATTTTTTGTTTTTGGAAAGCAATATGTGCTTTGCGCAATTTATTTGCAGCACGTAAACCTTCGCACTCCTGCAATTTGTGTAAATTTTGTATATGCTTCCAATCTATTAACTATAAATACAAAATAAATATTTAACCAAATTTAGCTAGCTACCTCTCCATTTGATTCATTTATTAAAATTTCCTCCTCCGCTAATAGATTTCTAAGTAATTTGAGCATATGACAAACATCTAGTAACATGTATATTTTTTCTGATTCATAAAATTCCAGCTCAATATATGGAATGATATTATCAGGATCCATACTAACACCAAGCAGTTTGCTCATTTTTTTATTAACAGCACAACCATCACATACTATGGCCTTACAGATAACTCCTGTTTCATTTATATTGAACAATGCAACTCTCACTAAATTAGCTAGGATATCTGAATTCATTTGTGAAACTAGAAAATAGGCTATTGGCATTTTCCAGCTGCTATTAAGACATGTAGCCATAAGAAACAGTGCCTTTGTTGCTTCTGGACAAGATTTATCTTCCTTTGTTGATTTTGTCCCATCACCTAAATCAACATAACCATGATATTCTGCTTTGTGGGGGTCATAATCTATTTGTGTTTTAATATGCATTTCATCAAGGCTAAGTACACAATATAACTGCTTTTCTGATTTTTTTTGGTAGCTTTTAATTTGGGTAAATGAAATAGAAAGGAAACCTTTATTTAATTTAATTTATTTTTTTTAAAATTATTATAATAAACCTGGCATGATTTCAATCTTGCTACTCCATGCCCTTAATGTGGATTCCGAAGGCATACAAAAGTGTGATTTGAGTAGTGTTGTTAAACGGCTCGTTTTGAGCCGATTTTTAAAAACGGCTAACTCAATATTTCGTTCAGAATATTAATACGCAAGCCTGAAGATTTTGTTTGTAGAAGGAACAATGGTTTGGACATCTATTACCGAAATCTCGAGGCTTAGACAATATTTTTCTGGCTAAAATATTGAATTAGCCGTTTTTAAAAATCGGCTCAAAACGAGCCGTTTAACAACACTAGATTTGAGATATCTGTAAGCCTTAGGTGAATAAAAATGCATAGTCAATGCAAATTGATGGAATTCACTTGTATATATTTTTTTTGTGGGTTTGAGATGCCTCCACTGTGTATATGTGTTTTAAGGAATATAGCAGATGTCCCTGTAAAGTGCCTGTCTATAATATTTTCGACATCATCTGATAACAAATTTTCATCTTTTAGTGAAGTGATTATTGTTTGTAAATTGATTATTTTATTTTTTCCTCTTTTTGAGCTCCTATAATAAGCATGTGCTCTTTTTTTTAAGCGTTTAATTATAGCCTCTTGGTAAATAATTTTTCTTTTTAATGTTTCATATGTCGCGGAATAATTATGATCATTTGTTATATGTATAATTGGATCTTTTTCATATAATATATCACTTTTTAATGGTGTTTGTATATTTGAATAAACATTCGTTATCTAAAAAGTATATATTTTAAAATATTGTTTTAACTATGTAATGATATTGTTAACATACATCATGAAGTGGCTTAGATATACTAAATATCGATGGAATAGAATCTTCCTTCAATAAAATCTTTCCAAATATAGTTTGAATGAAACAAGTATTTTTAAAATGCCTTCCACAAATAATACTATATTTATTAGGCATAAAATTTTTTCTATTTATAGCATGTAACCATTTTTCCAATAATTCTTTGGTAATGGAAATCTATATTTAAAAATAGGTGAATAATAATGAGTAAAATATAAGATATATTTATGACATTGATACAAAGATAGATAGTATATAACAATCAATATTAATATCAGATCAGTTATTAGTAATATAGTATTGAATCAGTGAAAATTTGTTGATTGGCAGAGCCTCTATTAATATATATATGGTTTACATATTTCTTACAAATATTTAAAAATGAAACTGTATCATAGTAAATATGTATTTTAAAAATGGCTAACTTAATATTTTATCCAGAAAAATATTTAGGCAAAGTTCAAAATAGAAATCTTATCAACTCAAGAGGAAGAAGCATTATTTGTCCTAGCAGTAAAAATGAGAAAACTTTATATTTTTACTAAATAAGGATTTTTTTTCAATGTTTGTAGCTTATTAATGCTTTATGTAATAAATATGTTGCATATAAAAAATAATATATATACTTATGATAAGAAATATGTGTATTAGATTCCATTTTATTTGTTTTATTACAATTATGAACACAGCACACTCCCATTATCTAAATAAAATAATAAATGATAGTGATATTAAAAGATCTGTTTTGCATGTATCCTAAGATGCATTAACATAAGATTTATAAATCCGTGCAGAATTAAGTTAAACTATATTTTAAAAAATTAAAAGGTGGGTTAGTCTTAGATTCATTTTTTAAATATAATCACCTAGTCCACATTCATAAAAAAAGTCTTATGAAAATTTAAGAATAAAAGATACTATAAAATATTATATCATAAATCGAAACCTTTAAAACTAAATTATCGTAGTAGACTTGTTTTCTATATATTAATATTTCTTGCTGACAAATAATGGATAACCAAACTACAAAATGGCGCTACAGCTGATTACAATGTGTGGACACTTTTATAATGCATTGAATGAATGAATCGTCAATCTATAGTTATATATATCATTGTCCCCTAGCCAAAAATTGGATGAAAGGTTGTTGGAACTTTAGATAAGAAACCTTCTTCAAATATGTAAAATTTATTATTATCTTTAAAAGCTTATATTTTATCTAGGTTGTTTTTACAAGCATTGGAAGGAGAACTTGATATACATAGGCAGTATCTATTTAAATCTGAGGTACTGAAATTCATGTATTATCTACGAATAAATCATTTAAAACCAATGGAACAAATGGTGGACAATAATGAAACTGCCCTTGATATTTTTAATAGCATCATAGATTGAATTATTTGTGTATATATATTATTTGTATTTTATAAAATAATATTCATAAAGTTTTTATTTATTAAAATAGTGTCCTAATTTATTAATAAAGATTGAAAAATTAGATTTAAATTTTATTATATATTAATAATAACATTCAATTTCATATTTGATATAATTAACAATGATATGTAAAAAAATAATTAAGAGTTTAAAAAATTTTAAATTTGTCTCTTAAAATTCTTTATTCAATTGTTGATGAATAGTTTTGCCTCTCTGCCAATAGAGAATGGTCTAGTGGTCAGATTAGGAATTGTATCTTTTATATATAATGAGAATTAGATTTATTAAAATATATATTAATAAATAACTCATTAAATATTCATTTTTTTATTAAATTTTTTGTCAAATAAATTCTGTGATTTAAGATTTAAAAATTTAAACACAATTTTTATTATATATATATTTATTAAGAAATATTCCAAATAATAACAATCAATTTGATATAATTAACAATCATATATATAAAAATAATTAAGAGTTTAAAAATTTTTTAAATTTGTCTCTTAAAATTCTAGATTCAATTGTTGAAGAATTGTTTTGTCTATCTTTGCTGATGGGGAGTGGTCTAGTGGTCAGATTAGGCATTGTATCTTTTAAATATAATGAAAATAAAATACTATAATATTTGTTGTACCTATGTCATCAACTTCAGCACCTATTCCTTCATTGCTTATTATTATATTATACACAAGGCATATAGTCTTGACAAGCTCCAAACTAACTTCTATAGGTTTGCTGAGAATTTCAAATTTTTTTATAATGCCTCCAAAGCTTTGTTCAACACTAACCCAAGCATGTGATAATCTCATATTATATTCTCTTTCCTCTATAGATAGACCTTTTTTAGGATAGGGTTTCATCAAATAATGTGACAGTGGAAATGCATCGCCAGCTACCATTACATAAGGAATATTTTCACTAAGGCCAGGAAAAGGTTTGGCAGGTGGTAGATCAAGAGTCTGGTTAACAATTTCTGCAATTTTTTTAAAAATATAATTGATTTAATGAGTTAAAAATAATTTTAATCTAACCTCTATACAGGGAGCTATTTTTAAACACTCCTCCATCACTCTGCTTTCCAGTGGCGGATCCAAGATTTTCTAGGGGGAGGGGATCTACTTGTTATTGCAGTTAGTAGTTTTAGGATTGATGCCATTAAATATCAAATTAAGAATATGATAGAATGTAGTTCTCTTCATTCTTGTATAATTAAAGAACTGAGATTATACCAATGACATATAATAATACCTAGACTGACGATTCATTCATTAAAAGTGTACATCAATACAAATCAGCTAGAGACGCCATCTTGGTTACTGTAATAAATATTAAAATTTTAAACGAGAGCCTAATTTTATATTATATCTGATGCAAACTTTATTAAAGAATTGACTGATCATCGAGATAATAAGAAAGTAAGTTATCAATTTAATATTAGTTTTTAACATGAAAATAATTATTATAAAGGTTACCAAAATGGCGGGTCCAGCTGATTTGCTTTTAACGACGCTTAAAAATGCATTTTAATGAATGAATCGTCAGTCTAGGTATTATTATATGTCATTGGATTATACCTAAACGAATTATTTGTTATTCGATTCGTATTTTACGAATAAGAATAACACAATTATTCGATTCAAAAATTCGAATCGAATTCGAATAAGGAAAATATATTATTCGTCGAATAATTTTTTATCTCTTATTCGATCTAATTATTCGACTAAAATAATTTATAGTATTAATATATATTGGAAAATAATCATATATAAATCATATATTATTTTTAGGAATTATTTGAAATTATTTCAATTTAATAAAATCTCCTAGTGGAATAATGAAAATTGCGCCAAATTTGAAACTCCATTTTAATTTATCTCATAATTGACCATTACTTTAGAAATTTCTTTTATGATAGAGATGGACGAAGAAGGTAATTTATATAACACATAACATATACAATTATAATAAACTGTTAATCCCATCACATCAAGAATGACGGGCAAACCTGATATTTCTTTCTCATTTGATGATGGAGAAATCATAAATTTGACTTTTTGCCTAAAGTTTTTACCACTTTATTTGTAAAATATTGCTAATGTGAGTTTTTCGTACTTATTTAAGTTGCATAGCTTTTTGATAATTTATTATTTCCCCACATTAAAAAGAATTTTACTTTGACTTATATATTATTTTAGTTTATGTTAATATCAACAAAGTAGTGTTTGGGATTAAAGATCATCATTGAATATAGGAATTTCTTATTGCCCAAATCAAATAATCTAAAACTTTCATTATTCTACTATGAATCAAAATTCACAAAAATTTATATTATCTATATAAAATTATATTGATTCTTTTCCCAATATAATTAAATTTTATGAACAGTGTTTGGAATTAAAACCTATAAATCCAAATCATTTTTGTAAAAAATATTTTATAAGTAAATCTATATAAAATTTAATATAAGTACATGTAATAGTATTTTTAAACTTAAAACTTTATTTTTCATTTATATCCAAATTCACTAAAATATATATTATAATTTTGTGATAAATTTTTTATAAGCTATCATCATCTACATTTTTGGATAATTTATCAATTGTATGAGCAGTTTGTAAAAAATATTTTATAAGAAAATTCTGTTATGATGATTATAGGATCTGATGATTTTGACATATATATATTACTGACTAACTTATTGATTCATATTGGGTTGGCTGGCTATGCTATAAATATTATAATAATATTTAATTTATTAAATAGATATTCAACCTATTGGTATAATAGATATTTCTGAATCAGAAAGCATTGGAGAACAAAGCCAATATTCATCATCCACCTCAAATTCTATACAGTCAGGCTCGGGAGGACGGAAAAATGCAGATATTTGGAAACATTATATTTACCAAGCATCAACAGAATCTGCAAGATGTAAGATTTGTCGGGTTAAAATTAAGTGTAAAAAAAAACTACTTCAGCTTAGATTAATCATTGCAAACGATTCCATCAAAAAACTTATAATAATAAATTTATTGAATCATATTTTGATAATGATATAAATAAAAATCATATGCACAACAATAATGATATCAAACACCTTTTATTAAAATTTTTGATCAACTAATATCACATTTAAAATTCTTGCAACAAATGAATTTAAAGGTTTTGTTAAAGCATTAAATCCTAGCATTAAAATATGTTCAATTCCTATATTAAAACAATACATTAATGAATCTTTGATAATGAATTCCAAAAAATTAAATTGATAATAAACAAATCTAATACACAAATAAATTTTACAATAGATATTTGGTCAAGTCCAACAAATGTCCCATTCTTGGGATTGATGATGAATGGGTACTAAAATCTATATTATTAGACATTGTTCCTTTTACAAATTCCCATTCTGGGGAACATATATAAGACATTTTATAGAATCATTAACAATTATAGCATAGATATAAAGTCAACGGCTATTACATGCGACAATGCCGCATCAAACACTACCTTTATAAATACCCTTAAAATTAAAAATCCAAGATCAAAAATTGCACATATTCGCTGTTTTGCACATGTTTTAAATATTGTTGTTCAAGAAATAATAAAACAAATTAATGAGCAATTAATAAAATTAAGAGGCACTATAAAAAGCATTCGAAATTCTTATAAGAAAACTACTATGATGAAAGAATTTTGTAATTCACAAATTCCATCTATTACATATTTGAAGTTAAAATTAGATACACCTATCAGATGGAACAGCTCATATTCTATGATAGAACGAGCAATACAAATGAGAAAAGCTATAGATCATGTCGTTATTAATAGTTATGATATATCATTATTCAAGAGAAACAACCTAGTGAAGTATTTATTTATATTTAAATCTAATTTTTATTTTTTAATATAGGATGAATGGACCGCCTTAGAAAGAATACATTTAAACTTAAAAACATTTTATGATTTTACTGTTGCCATATCAGGAGAAACATATCCTACACTTAATCTGGTCATCCCTTTTTATATATCATTAATTGAGCACCTAAGTCTTAATACGCTTATAAACGCAATTAATGCGCAACAAAAAATAGTATCATATTATAATTTAACAGATTTCCAAACAATTATATCTGCAATATTAGATCCAAGACTTAAACTGGAATTTTTTGAGTGCCTATCTATATCTTATAATATAAACGTTACAACTATATTTAATAATTTTGAGAAAATGTTTGATGAATATAAAATTAAATATGATGTATCAAAAAGTAAATCTTTAATACAATCAAATATAGATGTCATTTTTAAACAGAATGTTATGCCAATTTCTGAAATTGACACATATTTGAAAGAAGTGAGAATAACGTCAAATAAAAACCCACTAGAATGGTGGAAACTACATGGAGACCGTTTTCCCGTGTTATCTAAAATGGCGAGGGACATATTGTCGATACAGGGATCTTCAACCCCATGTGAGCGACTCTTTTCTGTTGCTATGGTTACAAAATACAGAATGTCGTTAAAGGAGGAAACAAACCGAAAAACTTTATGTTTGAAAAATTGGCTGTTGTCAGATTTATCTTCTACATTATAGATATGAATATTATATTTTTCCACATTGTATATAAATATATTATATATGTACGCTTCTATTTTGTCTCACTAATAAAATTTGTTTGTCTTTATCCTTAGTTAAATTTTACAATAGATCTTTTTTAATTCATTGTAAATAAAATTTTCGAATCGAATAATCATTTTATTATTCATATGAATACGAATAATAAATTATTCGATTTGATTCGTATTTTTGTAGGTATAACTGAGATGTTGTTAAGTCACCTTTCAGTTTAACATACTCAAAAAATAATTGTATTTTAATAAATATTTGCGATGTTTTACCTCTACTTTTCCTCCTATCTACTTGTTATTGCAGTTAGTAGTTTTAGGATTGATGTCATTAAATATCAAATTAAGAATATGATAGAATGTAGTTCTCTTCATTCTTGTATAATTAAAGAACTGAGATGTTGTTAAGTCACCTTTCAGTGTAACATACTCAGAAAATAATTGTATTTTAATAAATATTTGCGATGTTTTACCTCTACTTTTCCTCCTATCTACTTGTTATTGCAGTTAGTAGTTTTAGGATTGATGTCATTAAATATCAAATTAAGTATATGATAGAATGCAGTTCTCTTCATTCTTGTATAAATAAAGAACTGAGATGTTGTTAAGTCACCTTTCAGTGTAACATACTCAGAAAATAATTGTCTTTTAATAAATATTTGCGATGTTTTACCTCTACTTTTCCTCCTTTTTTATGTTTTAACAATAAACATAATGCTACCATCTTTTCCTGTTCTGTGCTAATAAATTCCATTTTTTAATAAATGATTTAAAAACGCCACCTCAATTTAAACAGAGCAAGCGTTACTTTTTTTTATTAAAAAAAGTACGGCAAAACGCAAACGCTCAATTTGTGCGTACTATAACCTGATTTAATAGTGAAGAGCGATTGCGATTTAGCAGCGATTTTCATTATAGTGCAGTGCAAAGCGTTATTAATTCAAAATGGTATCCACCCTCAAATTATTATTTTTTACAAAATGATCTTAAAGAGGAGAAGAAAGGAGGGCGAATTTTATGTCCTCTTTCCTAAACTATAAAAAAATGAATCTAAATTTTTCAACTATATGAGAATGACTAAAGTAATTTTATTCTATTTTATCTATAATTCATTTTAATTTAGGAAACCTTTTATTATATACTCAAACATGTAAAACCTTTATTACATACCAAATGTACCAATTTTATAAAACATCCTATAAGTGTTGAAAAAAAGCTTATGGTTTGTTTAAGGTAAAAATTAATATATTTTTTATTTAGGTATTTAGCAACATAAGGTTCATATAGTATTAAATCAACACAGCTTTTCTGATTCATTCCATGATTATGTTTATATTTATATAAAAATCCTATATTATTGATTTTTATAAATTTAATCATATCTTATTTTGTATGTTATATAAATATCTTGTTTTGTATTTTATATAAATTCCTTGTTTTGTATTTTATATATATTATAATAAAAATAAAGTTATTATTAATATAGTTTCAAATGACAAAAATATTCAAAATAATTTTAATCAATAATCTTTATAATAACAAGTATTTTATTTGTTATTTCTTTTTTTTCCTCTTTGGTAAAATCATCTAATTTTTCTTCTAACATTAAACATATTGCATGTTCTGTTGATTTATTTTTAAGCATTTCGGTTATTAATGCTTTATCTGCTTCTATTTATATTAATTTCCTATAGTCATCTATTTAAAATTGATCAATAAATCAAAAAATATAAATTACCCATATCATTCTTCTTTCTCTTAGAACATTTATAATAAAAACTATGTGGCCCAACACAGGACATAGATTCTATATAAAAGATAATATAAATTTTTAGATATTATTGATTACCAGAATCATTACTAAGATTTAATGCTGCAGGATCTTTGGGAATAAATATATCATCTGATATATTCTCACTATCAATTAGATCACCTAAATAATAAACATATTTAATCAATTAAAATGCGATATTTTACATTCATGTATACCCCCTGTTATTTCATTAAATATATCATTTGCATCTTTAGTAGTACATTCCTCTTAGCATATCCTGATAGAATGGCCATGAGATGTGGCCTTTGACCCACTTTTCAGTCTTTTTAGCTTTTGCCTCTCTTTTATAAAACAATCTCTCAGATTTTTCCAGAGAGATGAACCTAAAAAAATTTATAAATATAATATGTATGCAAAATTATTACCAGGCATATTATACTGCTTGGCTAATAATTCCCAGATTTTATTCTTGTATATGTTAGCGTCAATGTGTTATTTTCGGCAATGTACACATTGCCTGATTTTTTAAGGCAATGTGTTACGGTGGTAGGCAGGGTGAATTAGTTATTTAGGCAATGTAATGTTTTTGTAATATTATATTATGATAATATTATTATTAATAATTTTTTAAGATTATTATTTAATTTAATTTATAATTTTTAGATAATATAAATATAATATTTTATGTATTTTTTCCTGATATATCTTTTGATCGCTAATTTTTAATATTTTTTTTTTTTCTGATATATCTTTTGATCGCTAATTTTTAATATTATTTTTAAATATTTTTTAAGATTATTTTTTACTATTTTTTTCTGACATATCTTTTGATCGCTAATTTTTAATATTATTTTTAAATATATTTTAAGATTATTTTTTACATATTTTTTTCTGATATATCTTTTGATCGCTAATTTTTCAATATTTTTAACGTATTTTTTTCTGATATATCTTTTGATCGCTAATTTTTAATATTCTTTTTAAATATTTTTTAAGATTATTTTTTACGTATTTTTTCCTGATATATCTTTTGATTTCTAATTTTTAATATTATTTTTTAAATACTTTTTTCTGATATATCTTTTGATCACTAATTTTTAATATTATTTTTTACGTATCCTTTTCTCTCTTTTGATCGCTAATTTTTTAGGTAAAAATATTAACATGTTATATAAAAATTTCTTATCGTTATTTTTGAATTTTTTAAAATTAAATAGGTAAAAATATATATTGTAAAGATATAAAATTATTCAGTAAAGATGTACCATAGAAAAGTGACAATTGTCATAATCGTTATTTTTGAACTATTTTGAATTTTTTTAAAATAAATAGCTAAAAATATATATTGTAAACAAGTTAAATTAATATTTCAGTGAAGATGTACCAAAGAAAAGTGACAATTGTTATAAACGTTATTTTTGAGTTTTTTAAAGTAAATAGGTAAAAATATGTTTTGTAAACATGTTAACTTAATATTTCAGTGAAAGTGTACTATCGAAAAGTGGCAATTGTTATAATCGTTATTTTTGAACTTTTTTTTAAAGTAAATAGGTAAAAATATGGTAAACATGTTAAATTAATATTTCAGTGAAAGTGTACTATCGAAAAGTGACAATTGTCATACACGTTATTTTTGAACTTTTTTGAGTTTTTTTAAAGTAAATAGGTAAAAATATATATTGTAAACAAGTTAAATTAAAATTTTAGTGAAGATGTACTATAGAAAAGTGACAATTGTCATAATCGTTATTTTTGAACTTTTTTGAGTTTTTTTAAAGTAAATAGGTAAAAATATGTTTTGTAAACATGTTAAATTAATATTTCAGTTAAAGTGCACTATAGAAAAGTGACAATTGTCATAATCAATATTTTTGAACTTTTTTGAGTTTTTTTAAAGTAAATAGGTAAAAATATGTTTTGTAAACATGCTAAATTAATATTTGAGTGAAAGTGTATAATAGAATAGTGACAATTGTCATAATCGATATTCTTGAACTTTTTTTGAAGTAAATAGGTAAAAATATGTTTTGTAAACATGTTAAATTAATATTTCGTACTATAGAAAAGTGACAATTGTCATAATCGATATTTTTGAACTTTTTTGAGTTTTTTTAAAGTAAATAGGTAAAAATATGTTTTGTAAACAAGTTACATTAGAATTTCAGTGAAAATGTAACATAGAAAAGTGGCAATTGTCATAAACGTTATTTTTGAACTTTTTTGAGTTTTTTTTAAAGTAAATAAGTAAAAATATGTTTTGTAAACATGTTAAATTAATATTTCAGTTAAAGTGTACTACAGAAAAGTGACAATTGTCATAATCGATATTTTTGAACTTTTTTTAAAGTAAATAGGTAAAAATATGTTTTGTAAACATGTTAAATTAATATTTCAGTTAAAGTGTAATATAGAAAAGTGACAATTGTCATAATCGATATTTTTAAACTTTTTTTAAAGTAAATAGGTAAAAATATGTTTTGTAAACATGTTAAATTAATATTTCAGTGAAAGTGTACTATAGAAAAGTGGCAATTGTGATAATTGTTATTTTTGAACTTTTTTAAAGTAAATAGGTAAAAATAACATGCTAAATTAATATTTCAGTGAAAGTGTACTATACAAAAGTGGCAATTGTCATAATCGTTATTTTTGAATTTTTTTGAGTTTTTTTAAAGTAAATAAGTAAAAATATATATTGTAAACAAGTTAAATTAAAATGTCAGTGAAGATGTATAATAATTAAAAACTAATTAAGGAATTTTGTTTATAACTATATGACAATTGTCACTTTTCTATGTTTAATTTAAGTTGTTTACAATATCAGGCGCGTACGCAGGAATTTGGTCTGGGGGGGGGGGGGATAATAAATTTTTTAAAGAAATATTATTGTTTTTTAAGCATAAATATATTAGGACTAATAACTATTGGTAATACACAATTTTAAATTGATGTGAATTATAAAAAAAATTATATGTAAAGAATCACTTAAATGACCCAAAATAGAAATTTGAATTTTTGGAGCCTTTACACAAAATTTTTTGTATTTTGTATGTTATATATTAATGTAAAATCCAATCTTCGTTGGAATTGAGCTAATTTTTCAATTATCTCATCCTTGCTTGTCGTCAAATGCCTATGAATATTCAAAAGATCCAAACCTTTCAATCTACTTTCACATGTTGTACTTCTTGGTATGTTTTTCAGAGACCTGCAGATTTTAATTTTTTAAATATACCCGAGCTGGGCCTGAATTTTTTTTAAAAAAACACCCAAGAAGGGTCTGAATTATTTTCAAAAAAAACCCAGGCCGGGCTGTATTTTTTAAAACAGCCTATATTTGAAATCGTTATTATTAGCTATAAAAATCAAAAATAAATATAATTTATTTTTAAAAAAATCCGGGCCAAGCCTGAAAATTTAAAAAAAAACCAAGGCCGTTAAAAATCTTTAAAAAAATCCGGGCCGTGCCCTGCAAATGGTACTGCTGCAGCCTCTGTTATTCTTCTTAAAAAAGAGAGTGTTCTCTCATTAGTTTACTAATGGGAAGAGTTCATAAACCCTTTTAATACATTGGTAATCTAAAATGTGTTTGAAATAATGCTGAGCACCCATTTGGGACTATATCAACTATAGTTAATCTTATAAACATAGTTATTCAGCTAGTAAGGCATCATAAGATACTTTAACATCTTCATAATAAAAATCTAACAAATATTTTTTTTTCTATCACCATCTGAAAAAGGTTGGGAAGGCTTTTGTGGAAGTAATATTTGCAAATGTAAGTGCTGCATGATGAATTAAAAATTCATTTATTTGGGTTATAAATGTATCTGCATCTAAGATATACTCTTCTACTGATCCTACATTAATGTTTTAACGATGAGCTTGCCTTGCTACAAGTCGAGAGAGAGAAATATTAAACACGTATATATCTGCTTTTGACTCAACAATAAAATATAAAATATGAAATTCTTCAACAACATTAGCCCTAATTTCCTTGAGTTCTGATATAATGCTCTCCGCTATTCTCATCTTCTTAATCAAATCAAAGTCATGTTTTTGAAAAGTAATACTTAAAATAGTTGTATAATTAAATAATACATTCTAATGAGAAATAAAATTTGGAATAAGCATTGAATCCAATAATTTTCTTGCTTCTGAGGAAATATTTCTTTCAGGCCATTGTGATATTTCAGTAATAGCAATTAATTGGCTCTTCTATCTCCTTAATAGCGGTTAGTGCTTGATGGAAGAGGCCCTATCTCGTTGGACAAGGTTGCAATTTCTTTTTGGACCAGAAGTTTCAGAAATAATTATTATTTGAATAGAAATTTGAAAATGGTAGATAAATATTACGCCACTAAAAATTTGAAAATAATAAGTAAATATTACGCCGGAAAACTTGAAATAGAAATTAATTGATAAAATAACTTAGTAGATAAATGTGATAATAAATATAATAAAATATATATTTAATATGAGATACGAATAAATATTAACAAATATAAATTAATATAAACAATAATATTTTTAAAAAATATATCCGGCATCTGCATTTTTTGGCTTTGGGGGGGGGGGGGATTTGTCCCCCTGCCTCCCCCACTGCGTACGCATTTTTACCTAATTCTTTAAAAAAATTCAAAAAAGTTCAAAAATAACGATTATGATAATTGTCACTTTTCTATGGTACATCTTAACTGAAATTTTAATATAACATGTTAACAAAACATAATTTTACCTAAACAGAAAAAAAAGTACTATTTTTTAAAAAAAAATAATATATTCAAAAATATTTACGATCAAAAGATGTACCTGAAAAAAAGTACGTAAAAAATTAAAATATTTACGATCAAAGATGTATCAGATAAAAAGTACCTAAAAAATTATTATATAAAAAATCATTTAAAAAATTTATTTTTAAAACAATTATCAATCAAAAATATTAAAAATAATAATATTATTAAAAATCCTTTAATAAAAATATATTCAAAAATATTTACGATCAAAAGATGTACCAGAAAAAAGTACGTAAAAAATTAATATATAAAAATATTTACGATCAAAAGATGTACCAGAGAAAAGTACGTAAAAAATTAATATATAAAAATATTTATATAAATCTCAAAAAAATATATATAAAATATTGACAATCTTAAAAATATATTTAATAAAATCTTTAAATTATAAAAATAATAAATTTATTAATAATAAATTCCTCTCAAATAAATATTAAATTAATATCAATTAAATAATAAATTAATTTATCTGCCTAAATAACTAATTCACCCTGCCTACCACCGTAACACATTGCCTAAAAAAATCAGGCAATGTGTACATTGCCGAAAATAACACATTGACGCTAACATATATAATACTTTTATACAAATGATTATGCTTATTATATAAACATTCGTACTCTTTAGGAGAACATATAAAAGCTATTTTATCTATTTTCTAAAAAAAAATTAAATTTAAATCATAATTTTAACTTGATCCTTAGGTTTTATATCATCAAAAAAGGTTGTCTTTGAATTCATTTTAATTAATAAAAAATTAGCCCTAAATTTAAATGTAGCGCAAGATCAAAAATTTTGAGCTATATTCATCAAAATCTGTATTTAACGAAGCACTATTTCAAAATCTCGCGATAAACACAAAATATTTGTGTTTTGAAAAAATCGCGGCGATTTGCTTTCGCGTATCAAATCGCGCGATCGGTAACTATGAATGCGATATCATATTTACTGCATTTTGTATTTATCGCGTCTAAATCGCAATCGCGCCACTATGAATTCAGGGTAAGTCACTAGAAAGTATTTATATTACTGAAATTGTATACAATATGCGCGAAAAAAAATTATTATAAATTTTTATATTAAATTTACATTATTATACAAAATAATTATAAAAACGTAAATAAAGTATACAATATATAGCAAGAGAATAATAAAAATGTAAATATATAAAAGAAATATAAATAAATGCGGGTTATGATTGTTGTTTATAAAATATGAAACATTATCTAAAAAAGGATATATTTCCATTGTACGCTCGTATATAAGAGTTAGATTATTAATGTTGATATTTAATTGATCATATTTTTTATTTTTTCTCCTCAAGTTCAACCCACTATTGATTTGTAAGACCTTAATCTCACTCGAATGCTGGTGTCTTTTAAAAATATTTATCAGACAATAAATATTCGGATGAACCACGTTTGTTTTTCTCTTGAAGGCATGATGATACCCCTTAAAATCCATATACTCCATAATTGTTAGCAAAGAATATTCAGCAGACAGCGCATGGCATGATGCCTGTACCTCGGGAACATGTTCTTCTTTGCAAAATGGCAAGTCTAACAACTTGATGAATGGTAGTATTATGCAAATAACCGGTATCTAAACCCAACGCCTGACATTTACGCCAAAGAGCCTGGGAATAGTGAAAAAAACAGCCTAAATTTTTTTAATTATAATATACAATGTTATAAATAAACCTTTTATGGACATATTGGGGAAAACAAACCTGTGCGCTGATATAGTTGCGGCCTCGTAATCAGTTTGATCCTAATCGAGGATTGAATTGGATATTTTTCATTGAGCAAAATTGTAAGATAATTTGAAAAAATTTAATATATGTCCCTCTATTTTTATCGGAGAGGAGGGCATATATAATCGTTATCTTAACTTCTTGATACATTACATGGACACTGTACAATTGACAGTACAGTCGAGGAACGACATAAAAGTGCCGTCCATGTAAATGCTATCATCATCACATATTTCTACAAGTTTTAGCATTTCACACGTACCAAACACCAGCATATTATTATTATTATAATTATTAATTAAAAAAATCTCCCCCTTATTTGTGATGTATTCTGGTAATAATACTAGTTCATCCACAGAGTGAGGCAAAGAGGGCCAATTTTTTTGTAACAACCTGTCAATTGTACTCTTAATTGAAACAAATGAGGGCATTGCCTCGGGATATATTTCGATGGAGGGTGTTTCCAGGCATCTTTTGATTCATTCAAAAATATTATGCCTTGTCTCTAGAGGATTTTCCGCAACAATATCCTCTAGAACCTGGTGAATTCTCAGATTTTCAAACTGACCGATTTCATTTTGGTGTTCATACAAACCAGAGGTTGTGTATATTCCATCAAATTTACATGAAGCCTTGCAGCCAACCTTTCTGCAACGATAGTGTATTCTATCATCTTTTTGATAAGCATATCGATATAAATAATTTTGGAAAAAGAGAAGCAGTTTTCCTTTTTGAGATTTTATAAATTGAGGATAATAAATATAAAAATCATATATTTATGGAGCTCTAATATTTAGGAAAAGATCAGACAGAACCAGATACTTAAAAAAAATAAATAGAGCAAATAAATAATTATTGATTTATTATTTATCTTTAAAAAAGATGTGTTAAATTATTCCAGGGTCATGCCTAAAAATAATTAAAAAATCACTATGCTATATTAAATATCTAGGGTTATTTATTATATTATGTGAATTCTGTATTTAATTTTTTTAAATAAATAAAAAAATAACCTTTTATAATCATATTTTTACCACTAATATTCTGATGTAAATATATTATCACATGAGTACTTCTAATGAGAGATCACTATTACCTATAAATATTTTTTAAAAATTGTCAATTTGTGTATTGGATACTTTCAATTCCAACATCTGAATTAATAACTTGATTAGCACCTGAATTGATTTGAAATAAAATTTTGATAGGCTAAGGCAAAACCAGAAGAATTTTGAGGGGCTAATGTTAAATCATTGATTTAATGTTAAAAATATTATCAAGGTAAACATAATTACCTTCATTTGCAGTAGCAGTTTGAGAGGCTAATGGCAAATTAGAAGTGGCGAATAATTAAAAGTTATTGTTAAAAATAAAAATATCATAAATACCTTGATTTGAAATAATATTCTGATGGGGTATGGCATCAGAACTAAAAGTTTGATGGGCTAAAGTTAAATCATTAATTAAATGTTAAAAATATTATCAAGGTAAACACAATTACCTTCATTTGAATTAGCAGTTTGAGAGGCTAATGACAAATTAGAAGTGGCTAATAATTAAAAGTTATTGTTAAAAATATTAGAAATACCTTGGTTTGAAATAATATTCTGATGGGGTATGGCATCAGAACTAAATGTTTGAGGGGCTAATGTTAAAATATTGATTCAATGGTAAAATAATATTAAAAAAATAATTACCCTGATCATAGAAGTTTGTGCAACTAAGTTTTGGCAGTCAAAAGAATGTTGAATCGAGGCCAATAATTAATTTGGCTCTACCACCACATCTTTTGCGACAAGGTAGACATCCCTTTTTCCACTTGTATGGGTCAAATATTCATGCCCTTGGTAGCATATGTAGTCCTTTTTCTTTTGTGTTCGCTGAAAACAAAAATAATAAGATATAAAATGGTTTATTACTTTTATTTCAAGTTGTATGTATTTAAGATGAAAGGTTATCTGCTACAGTTGGAATCATATCAAATATATGGCGGCCATATTATTGTGAATATTCACATTTACGCTATATTTATACTTGCTATTTAGGTCTCTTATCTTTTAATTTTGTAGCGAAGGACTGCATTTTGATAAAAAAAATGAAAGGAATCTTATCTTATCTAGCACGTTGGTCACAGATCTGTGCAAAGTGAGCCAACGTGTATGAGCGTGAGGGAGAAAAAGGCAAGAAAAGAAACTATTTCTTCCAAATACAAATAGCAATTTATTTATTAATCAAATTAGTTTCGTTTAGGTATCCTAAGTATCTTATAAATACTTCAATAAATAATGGCCTAATAGGTTATTCCTACGTTATATTATAATTTCACTTTGTAATCGGAAAAATTATATACAAAGTTTCATTTGTTTCTCATAGTCTACTTGTCAAATTTATATACCTTAATCTACTTAATTTCGGCATATAGGTTTCCTAGTCATGAAGAATTTTAATCTTTATACTACGGATGATAATAAAATAACATTATCATATACAACAAAAAATATTATTAATTTAGAAAAGCTAGATATCATTAATTTAGAAAACTAATAGTCAATAGAGTATTAGTGATCTTTTCTTAAAAATAAATATATAATTACCTCTCGACTCAGCATTCATTCGTCAGATTATCGTAGAGTAGCCTTAGAATGGTTTTAAAAGTTCTTCTATTCCCAGGATAAGTCTATCTCCGCTATTGATCTGGTTATCCTGCCGAATTAACTATTTTTATATGTTAGAAATAATTTGATGGATGACTTCTCCGGGGATACTCTAACTAGTGCTTGATATATGAGATTGTTTGGGGCTTGTCTTGGATTATGGCATTCTAGTTCAATTTTCCTATATTCTATTATTCTATATAGTGGGAGTGTGTCGCATCTGGCCCAAAGGATATTGTTTGTTGTATTCAAAGAGAAGAAAGTATTGGTGATATATCTTAGACATTTGTTAATAAATGTTTGTGTCTTTTTGTTATCCAATTTTGTATCGTTGCATGTTTCAATGCCATAATGTAGGGGAGCGAATATTATAATTTTAAAAAGTCGGATCTTTATCGGAATAGATATTTTGTTTGACGACCATATCTTCATAAATGATTTATAATTGGCTCTCACTTTATTTATTTATCCATTAAATCTTGTTCATCTTTCTTTTTTTCTTATCTAGAATTACTCAGATATTTTAGGTGTTGTACTTATGTAATCGCCTATCTTTAGGTTCAAGTGTGGTGGGGTGAAGAATGAGGTTATTATCTTTGTTTTATCAATATTTATTTTTAAACCAAAAAAGCCAGTCTACGATAATACTGTCCTTTAGGAACTGAAGATCTGGTATTGATTCTCCAATCAGACAAAGGTCATCGGCAAACGCAAGAATATTTACCTCAAACGTTCCGAGATTTTAACTTTTTTTATAATATAATTCCTAATAAAATTAAATAGTAGAGGAGATAAAACGCATTCCTGTTTCAGGCCAATTTTTATAGGAATTTTCGACCGTGAATTAGCTGGACCGAATAGTTATTATAGATAGTTTTTATAATTTTTAGCATATGTGACCTACTTCTATCTAAGTCCTCCACAAACTAGCTTGAATAATGGAATCGAAGCGTTCTTAAAATCAATGCAATCCAATACAATTGACGTTTTCGTATTACAGCTCTTTCAATTGAAAATTTAACCACAAGAATGGCTTCAAGTGTGCCCATTCCTGAACGATACCAGTGAGTCGACAAGATCATGTTCTACTATCGGTCTAAGTCTGTTTAAAATGATATTCAAGATAACACTATCGAATTTAATGAGATCCCCTTCCAGTCTTCAAGATAAATTGGGTTGTTTGTTTTAGGGAAGTTAATTAGAATAGCGGTGAGCATCTAATGGACATGCTTCTTGCCAAACTTTGGAAATAATTTTGGAAGAGGATCTCCGCATACAACGTTGAATCGGTCTTCAAGTACTCACTAGTTACTATGTATATTAGTGTGTTAAATAGTCGTGTTCTTACGACACCGAACTTAAGTTGAAGTCGCAAAACTCATTTCAAATTGAGCGGATCAATGAGCCGCATGAGTTGGCTCGATGAGTCGGCTTCAGAGCCGGCTAAAGTTTATTTTGAATCGATCTACTATTATTATTTACTCCACGATGAAAATATTAAAAATATTTAACTACTTTAGTTCTGAAATTAAAAATTTTTAAATTCGAAATGACTTATATGTAGACCATGTTATTATTAATATTACCTAAACCTCGACACTTTGCTGATAGATGTTCAAACTTTATTCCTGACGCTTTTAAGTATTTTTAATAAATCTATATTCATGACCCATTTTTATAAGAAAATAGTAAAAATTTATTTATTTTAACAGCGAATTTAAAAAATCATGTGAAAAGACACCATATTGATATATTGGAGATCGAGAAGAACCCGGACATGCCAAAAAATTTAGCAGGTATAAGGAGACTTTTACCAGAAGAAAACATTCATTTAAACAAATTAATTCTTAGATATCTAATAAAGAATAATATATTCTTCAATTCAATGAATAGCGAATCATTCAGAAACATATTTTCTTTTATATTTAAGAATGAAAAAATTTGGACGCGTCAAACAGCGTGTAAATATATTAGTAAATTATACCAAGCTTCCAAATTAAAGATAATTTCTAAATTAAAAAATATTCATAGTAAATTTTCATTAACAACAGATATGTGGACCGCCAATAATTCTTCATCATACATAGTTATCACATGCCATTTTATTAACAATAAATGGAAAATGGAAAGTTTCATTCTAGATTTAATTGAATTGCCGCACCCAGATTGTGGTGATGATATTTCCCAAGCATTGGTAGCATCACTTGATGCTTTTGAAATTCAAGACAAGATAATATCAATCACTCACGATAATGCACCAAATATAGTGAGTGCTGCCGCGAAAATGAATACCATTTTCAACTCAAAATATAATAAAACTCTCTTTAGCCATAGATGTATGGCCCATATTATTAACATAATTGTAAAAGAAGGGTTATCATCATTAGATGTAAAACTGGAAAAAATTTCTAATTTAGTAAAAAAGTTACATCTATCGCCTAAGCTCCTACAAAAATATATGAAGCTCTCTGGTGGTACAAGAATCCCTCTGGATGTTATCACCAGATGGAACTCAAAATATTTAATGTTAGCAACAGTAAACAAAGTAAGTGTTAAAATAATTATTTAAATATTGTATAATATATTTTATTATAGAATTTAGATGCCATTAAAATACTTGTCAAGAAATATATGACGGATGCTTACTATATCAATGATACAGAAGCAAATATTTTGAAGGATATTGAAATTTTTTTAAAACCGTTTTACAAAATGACGTTGGAAATATCATCCGATACTACAACGATTGGAACGGCGGTTTTATTTATTTCAAGGATGGAAAAGATTTTGGAGGAGACTTCCAAAAATCATAATGATGATTCCATTAAGAATGCTGCGAATAAAATGTTAACAAAGTGTATGACATATAAAAGTTATGTAAGCACATTTAGTAATTATGTTGCTACATTACTTGATCCTAAAACTAAAATCAAATATATGCCTAAAATATTAGTTAAGGCGGACTATATGGAAAAATTTAAAATATTATATAAAGGTTTTGAATTTCCATCTAATAGATCTATTGTTTACGAATTTTCTCCTGATGACATGGATACTCAGCCGTATTCTGTTTGCATGCATCACGAATTGAGAAAGTAATTAAAATATATTATATTATATTGTAATTTTTAGGGAGGCATATGAATTCCCTGATCTCATAAAAGATGAGATCAAGGATTATCTCGATGATAAAGTAGCGTCCCCTACAACGAATATACTAGATTGGTGGGAAAAAAATAGCCTTATCTATCCTACATTGTCGCTGATTGCAAAAGATTTTTTTGCCCAGCAATCATCAAGTGTGCCGAGTGAGAGAGCCTTTAGCAAGACAGTGGATTTCCTGACGAAAAAAAGAAATAGGATGTCACCATCCACCTTAAAGCATTGTTTATCCTTGAATAACTGGGATATCGATATATGGCAATAATATTTATATTTTTTTCTTATGTTATACCATATAATATTTTTTTCTTATGTTATATTTATATTAATATATCTTATTTAGAAACAGCAAAATAAAGTAAATTATGTAATTGTTGTTTGATTAGATTAAGATAAGATAATTCTTTACTAAAGAGGTGATTTTTTAAATATTTTAAAAGCTATTAACCATTAATTATAAAATAAAATAATTATCTAAAAGAATGACTAAAGAGGGACTATAAAAATACTAAATATATATTAAATACAGCTAAGGAAGAGTTTTAAAGAAAATTCACCCGTCATCTCGTAATTTTGATTATTATCACACGTATGGTTTTCTTATATAAAATTTAAATCATGGTGAGATATAATCAAAATATTAAGATACCTGCGAAATATTTTTTGAGAATATAGTATTCATTCAAAAAATGTTTATAAGAATTTATTTGATCAAATAAATAGAGGAATAAGATAATGAAGTATATGAATCTTAAATAATAATTAATTTGAAATAAAAAAAAATAATTACCTAAAAGAAGGACTAGAAATACAAAAAATAAATTAAATACAGATGAGGAGGAGTGATAAAGAAGATTCACCCGTCATCTCATAGTTTGATTATTATCACACGTCTGTCTTATATAAAATTCAAAATACGGTTGAGATATAATTTCTAAATATTTAGATACCTGCAAAATATTTTATTATTTCAGATTATTATTCAATCAAAAAATGTTAATAAGAATTTATTTGATAAAATAAAATGAGGAATAAGATAATTATGTAAATAATTGGTATTCACGATTCAAGTTGGAAGTCTTAAGTAATAAAATATAAATAACAGAACAAATATCTTAAATAATAATAATTAATTTGAAATATTCGTCCTCTAGTCAACTTAAATTGACGATTTTAGTTTATTGAAAAATTCGTCCTCTAGTCGACTCAACTATATAATTTGTATTCCTAAATCAAGTTGGATGTCTAAAGTAAAAAAATGTAAATAACAGAACAAATATCTTAAATAATAATTAATTAGAAGTTCATCCTCTAGTCGACTTAAATTGACGACTCAAAAGTTCAAAGAACTATTCGTCCTCTAGTCGACAACTATATATTTTGTATTCACGACACAAGTTGGAAGTCTTAAAATGTAAATAACAGAACAAATAGCTTAAATAATAATATCTATTTTGAAATATTCGTCCTCTAGTCGACTCAAGTTCATAGAACTATTGATTAGTCGACCCAACTATATAATTTATATTAACGACTCATGAAAGTCTAAAGTAAAAAATGTAAAAAACAAAAAATATCTTAAATAATAATAACTAATTTGAAATTTTCGTCCTCTAGTCGACTCAAGTTCATAGAACTATTGGTCCTCTAGTCGACACAACTATAAAATTTATAATAACTTAACGAGTCATGAAGGTCTAAAGTAGGAAATATAAAATACAAAAATATCTTAATTAATAATACCAAATTTCAAATATTCGTCCTCTAGTCGACTCAAGTAGACGGCTTAAGTTAATAGAAATATACATCCTCTAGTCGACTCATTTATATAATTCTTTTCAGTTTTCACAATTCAAATTAGAAGTCTAAAGTAAAAAAATGTAAAAAACAGAAAAAATATTTTAAATAAATAATAATTAATTTGAACTATTCGTCCTCTAGTAGGCTTAAATTGACGACTCAAGTTCAGAGAACTATTCGTCCTCTAGTCGACAACTATATATTTTGTATTCACAACTCAAGTTGGGGGTCTATAAAGTAAAAAATAAATAACAACAAATATCTTAAATAATAATAACTAATTTCAAATATTCGTCCTCTAGTCGACTCAAGTTCATAGATCTATTGGTCCTCTAGCCGACACAACTATATAATTTATAATAACTTAACGAGTCATAAAGGTCTAAAGTAGGAAATGTAAAATACAAAAAATATCTTAATTAATAATACCAAATTTGAAATATTCGTCCTCTAGTCGACGACTCAAGTTCATAGAAATATTCGTCCTCTAGTCGACTCAACTATATAATTATATTCACGAGTCACGACTCAAGTTGGAAGTCGAAAATAGTAAAATATAAAAACTATTATTAATAAATAATAATAGATCTGAAATATTCGTCCTCTAGTAGACGACTAAAGTTCATAAAATATTCGTCCTCTAGTCGACGACTCAAGTTCATAAAATATTCGTCCTCTAGTCGACAACTCAAGTCCATAAAATATTCGTCCTCTAGTCGACGACTCAAGTCCATAAAACATTCGTCCTCTAGTCGACTAGAGGACGAATATTTTATGAACTTGAGTTGATGACTTGAGTCGACTTGAGTTCATGACTTGAGTCGACTTGAATTCATGACTTGAGTCGACTTGAGTTCATGACCTGAGTTTATAACTCAAGTCAGTTTGGGTCGATTTTTTTGACCCAAAACTTGACTCAGTTTTCGACTCAGTCGACTCGACTCAGTCGATTAACAGAGATAAGAATGAATGCATGTTTGATTAATAACTTTGCCTCTGGAGTTATTTTCCTCTACATATATAATAGTAAAATTTAATTTAAATTCAACAAATCATTAGTATCATATAAATTTAATCGAAAATGATTGAAGTAAGAAAAAAAATCATATATAGAATGTTTAAATGATTTAGGAAAAAAATCCAAAAGAGGTTAAATATAATTAATATAATTATTTTGAAAATTTTTGCAACAATCATACACTGAATAACGGTGATCGGTATAATGAATAAATATTTTCACAGGCTATAACAATTAATGAATAAATATTATATAAATATAATTTAATAAAATATAATTATTTCCAAAAAATATAAAATCTTTTCAATTATATTAATGATAAGTAATTAGTTTAACTACTCACGATAGATAAACAATTACGTTATTATAATTTTTAAAGTAAAAAATATAACAAATTTGATAATAATCTTATAATTAGTAACGATCATTTAAAATATTTCAGGAATTTTATCAATTTACAATTTATTTTATTGAGTAACTTCAAATCTATAAATCATTTTTCTTAAGAGTTAATAATATTTTCGATCATTTTAACTATAAATACCTCAATTGTTTTTAAAACATTTACTTCTTCTTCAAAAAACCTAGTATAGGTCGCCCTCGGGGGTAACCTATACCATCGAGGGAATGATTAAACCGGTAAGGATTCTCCTCTCCTTCTCCCCCTAGATCTTTTGTCACATCTGCAAGTTCTTCATAAGGTTCTAATGGAGATCGGGATGAAGTGCGATGAGTCCGCGAAAGTCTGTCTACCCATTTGGATTTTCTCAAAATGTGCCCGAGAGTGCTTAGCACAGCTATTCTATTTTGTTCATGGTTTGTATTGAGATCGGCCATATTCGCCTTAAAATTATTATTTAACTTGCGATGATCAGAATCTTCGACAGTGACTTCTGCCTGAATCGTTTTAGAAAAATCTTTTCCGTCAAAATAAACGCAGTCACGGTCGATATTGCCAGATTCTTGATTTAGCAAACATCGATAAGCCACAAATCGTTTGTGGCGACAGTTCCTAACTATAAATAAGCTCACAGTGATTACCACAAAACAGGATGTTATAACTGCTACGACTATAACGAGGGAGAGTGTGAAGATGTAGAAGGTGCGTTGATAAAAAATAACGTGAGCATCAGCTACCGAAGTTAGATTAAAGATGATTGTTTTTGCAGTCATTGGTGTTGAGCTACTAGTAAATATTCCTAACTGGTTGTCTATAATGTTGGTTATGGTCATAAAAGATTAATATCAGGAAAAGTGTTTTAATTTAAATCCTGTTAAATCAATGTTTCAGTTGACTACCTTTTTGGTAAAATTTGGTAAGTAAAGTAAGGCTAATATAAATAAGACAACCAAAATTGTAGCACCCCCCCCTCCCCCCAAACTTATATTTTTGATATAACACGGGTAAAAGTGGGATAAATCGCGTAATATTGGCCTTCAATCAATTAATGATTTATTAAAACATAGGGAGTGGAAATAAAAATTCATCACTTAATCACCTGTACTATAAATGTCTTTTGAATATTTAGTTAAACTTAATAGACAATCAGGTATTTATGAACATTCTTTTATCGAAATGTAAATTGGCTGTATTGAATTTTGTGAGCAAGATGGTATGGGGTCAGTGCATGCTCATGGTATGAAAAATATTAGTTTCTGCTTGAGCGTTTATCATTCTCACACATTTTATATTATGATCCTTTAGTCTGATGCTACAGGAAGAAAAAATGTGTTTTGAGAAATTAACATTCATAAATTCCAATATTTCTCCTTTTCTCCAGCAATTAAAAGTAGTCGTATACATAATGAGATTTGTATAGAGAATATTTTAATTTAAAGAATAAAAAAAATAAGAAATTAAATATTGAATTAACACAAATATTTGTTATTTTTAAAAAAATTAATAAAATAATTGATAATTTTTATAAATGATTTCCATTATTTATTGAAAATTCTCACTCACCTTACCTAAATATTTTTACATGTTTTAAAAATATTCTCAGGATCCTTCAGAATGTAAATTTATTATTTATAAACTGCCCAACTTTGAAAATGTGAATCCAATTATATATGATTAAGGTATATTTTATAAATAATTTGTTTCAAAAATCGCCAATATGAAATAGATTAAATTTTTTATATTTTTGTAATATGCTACATTTTTTAAGATTAAATATTTATTACTATAAGATAAAGATGGGTAGAATGTATAGTAAATTTTTTTCTCATTTATTTCATTTAAAGTAATTTTTATCATTGCATAAAAAATAAATTTAGTAAAGTATATCAAATCAAGTAAGAAAATTTATGGTTGATAACTAATATATATTTTAAAATTGCGTGATACATAAATTATATTGAATTTAAAAAATTTGAGCAAGTGAATTTTTAATATACAATCGCAACTATTTTAAAATTAAATAATCCTCTTCACTCCCCCCCCCCTTAACTTGTACAGAATTTAGTCATACTTACTGAAATTTTGCCCATTTTAATGTCATCAATTGAATGAAGGCCAATAATTATCTATTATCCCCTAATATTTCCATTACTTGCCATTTAATGAAATTTTGCCCATTTTAGTTTTCTCAATTGAATGAAGGCCAATAATGATCTATTATCTCCTAATCTACTATCTTCACGAAGATAGGTGTTATGGAGGTTAAAATTATGTCCAAGTCTTAATTACATTGATCTATATTTACCTACGAAGAAAAAAATCGAAGTTGGTATTGACATAAAATGATCCATAATATAGCAAAACCAGAATTCGGAAACTGGGCTAATAAGGGTTCCAAATATATTTTAAAAAAGTAATTTCTAAAATATTGACAAGTGGGTCCTGGATCTAGTTCAAGTTCCAAACTGTTTAAGCAATAAATAAACCTTCTAGAATAAATCGCATAATATATAAATAAACTTTAGGTAGAAACAGTTCAGGAACCTGGAAATTTTAAAAATGGTTCTGTTTAAATAATTTTTAATAGAAGGTGTTTGTAGTGTTGTTAAAAACCCCGATTTTGGTCGATTTTTTAAAACGCACAATTAAGGTTTTAGTCAAATAATATTATGTAAGCTTCAATATTTGGCAGATAGATGTCCAAACCTTTCTACCATCTATGAGCAAAATTTTCAATATTATTTAAATTATAATCTCAATCGGGACGTTTATAAAAATCGACTCGAATCAGGTTTTTAACAATACTAGTTTCTAGATTTTCCGATTTTGATGGTTCCACGTTTTGGTTCCAAACTTGAAGAAAAGTTAAAAATTAAAGATTATAGCATTTTAATATTAAAATAATTATACTATACAATTACCTGTTTCAAAAGGGAAAGAAAAAGGAGTGTTTAAACCGTGTAAATGTTTATTTTTGAGCTGATTCCCTAAGTTTATTTTTTGAAAAAAATTTGATGAAATTAAAGGTGCTAAAACATTTCCCCTTATTAAATCAAAAATGTTAATATTATATTTTTATATTTTTTCAATTAAAATATTTGAGAATAGCCATAATGATAAATTAGATGACTGCCTGAATGGACGCCTATTCCAAGTGAGTGGAGTACGATGAGAGGGTTAACAACTCAGGTGGTGGTAAGGACTTTAAAAAAATCTTTGGTCCAGTTCGGTGTGGCAAGGATAATGTTATCGGATGGCCCAGCCTTTATAGTGTATAATTCAAGTTATTTTGTGATGAAACCGGGGCAATACACATTTTAACGTCGAGGTATCACCCTAGTTAGAATGAGAGGATGGTGGCAATTGTCAAAAATTGGTTACGAAAATCAAAGTATGGAGGAGGCAAAATTTGGGTGGCAGTGGCGTATTACACAATAGAAAGGGATAAGAAAAAACCCCAGCAGAGGTTTTTGGGGCGAAAAACCCGGATTTAATAGATTAATTGGGATAGGAACCAGATAAATGATGGAAGCGAGGTAAATGAGATGTCTGAATTCGTAGTAAAACAGGCCATGTGGGCCAAAATATATAGAAATACGAGAAAATGGGAATCTAGGGAGATCAAAATATGGGACACAAATTAAATCGAGTGAAATCCACCGTCAGAAGGGAAGGAATATGGCACCGAGACCAGTAGAAAAGGGGAGTGGAAAGTGCAGAATTCGATCGGGACTATGAATAGTGTGAGGTAATTGATAAGAAATTCGTAAAAAATAGGTTATAATAATGCTAATATTGTCAGGGTAAAGGTTGTAGAGAAATATTAATCAGGTAAAGTTGTGCAGAAATAGATAAAATAATGATAACGATATATTATCGAAAATATTATTAGGGTAAAGGTTGTGGAGGCCATGAAATAGAAAGACGAATAAATTTGTTTCGTTTAATGGAGTTTGAATTAATGCGTGGAGAAATATTAACATTTAAAATATTATAGAATTTAAAGGATATAGTGGAATTAATAAAAAAATTTTTAAAAAAGAAATATTAATAGTAAAATTAATTAATTAATTACAAGCATAGAAAGAGAAAAATTGAAAAAGTAATTAAATTTGGGAATGTCAGGTATAATAAGATCATAAATTATCCATAGCGTGTCAAAGATTTAGGAAAATTATGCAATTTTGGAATGTAAGGTATAAGATGATAAATTATTCATAGTATATCAAAGATTTGGGAAAATTATTTGTTGAATGTCATTGCCAAGCGATAAAAAATGAGGATGAGTTGATAATATTGGGAATGTAATGGAGATATTCATTAAAGAAAAGAATATATAAAAGTTACAAATTAGTATTGATATATTTAATAGTTTGAATATAAAGGTATAAAGTATTATTTCAATAATCGATATTAATTAGAAATAATATGTAAACTCTGTATATGATAAATATTTAAAAAAAAATTTAAAATCCATATAAAAATTATCTTTTTAAAGAAAATAAAAAAAGGAAGATGTTAAAAATAGTCATCCTCCTCTGATGACCGCCATGAATCTTTAAATAATTTAAAATTGTAACGTAATATTACAAAGCTGATTTCTTGTTTAATCAAAAGGGTCGTCGAGATTGTTGTTTTATGGCTCTTTTGGCTAAATAGTTCGATTAGAGATTTCGCTTCTTTCACAAATGAGCAGTTTGTTGATACCAAAATGGGTATAAATATTTTATTATCGGCTAAATGTTTGGGATTTACTTTTCGTTATACATAATGGATAGTAATTATTAATTGATGAGGCGTAAATGTCTATATATGTAAAGTCCCAATACATATGTTTCCCTATATTTCGGAGGATTAACGTATACCCATCAGGCCGTGAGTTATTAATAAGGTGGTATCTCGTGGTTCGAGATGTGAAAAAACATCAACTTTGAATAATAAAGCTTGGATTATTTTATTAATTCTTTCGTGCCCTACATATTTGTAACTATTCACGAGAAAATGGAGTAGATGTTTAACTTTAGAATCAGCCATTACCCATATGTCTAAGCCCTGATAGCCAAAGTATATCTAAATTCCATATTTGTCAAAAGACTTTTATTTAACATGCTTGGATAAGCTTCCAACCATTCGTGGCCTGATTTATCCATTACAAATAAATGAAGGTTAGTACACTACTGTTCATTGATCGAAAGTAGTTAGTCTACAGAACGTGACACGATTGCAGCATCCTAAACCTTTTGTAAATCAGAGTTTAAATTGCGCCAAAGGATGTGTTAGCAGATTAGCATAGCATTGTCTAACATGGTGTCCTAAAAAGGTTTAATTAATTTGAGAATTCGATTTTTATTTTTTAGTAAAGATTAAATAAAATTTAATCACACGAGTAAAGAGATAAATACTGGTTGAAGAAAAATTTGTAGTTAAGTATATTTCACATTTTTTATAATTTAAGGGATTTAGTTGTTGAAAATTTAATATCTACAGCTTAAATTATTTCACTAATTGGGCCCAATAATGTGGCATCATCCATATACCAAGCATTGAGATTAATATTACAATCCCAAATAAATTTTTAAGCAATACACCACTGTGCAGAACCTTGTTAATCACATCACCTGTCTGATTAGCAACAAAAATGACAAATAATTAGATTTTATTAAAAAAAAACAAATTATTCAGAATATTTAATCTTGGATTATTCCAAATATTTTTTGAATAACCAAACTGCAAGTGATCCAATCTTGTCAAGAGTAGTCAGATATGTAACCGACGGTGAAAATATACAAGTTCTATTATAAAAAGAATAAAATTACCAAAGAAGAAGGTTGTATTCTACGAGGTTTATGAGTGATCATGAGCCACAGGTATTACAAGAATCAGTATTTAAACCAAGGGCATACAGGAATGACAAACACTCAAGACCACTAACAATGATGGTTGAGACAAAATAACTGGAAAAGCGATATCCCTCTCAAATAAGAAATCCCACAGAGAGATATCAAAATTTAAAGGTGTTGTGTTTAAAAAATATCAATTTAACTTTTTAAATATAAATTGTTTGTAATATTATATAATTTTTTACCATTTAGAATAAAATTAATTGTTTTTTGAAAAAGATATATATCGGAGACCTGCAGAGGTACTATTTGCACGGCTAGGCCCAGATTAAAAAAATTTCGGCATTTTTTACGGCCCAACCCGGGTTTAAAAATTTTAGGCCCAGCCCGGATATTTAAAAAAAATATATTTTGAGCCCGGCCCGGATTTTTTAAAAAAAATTTTTTAAGCCCGGCTCGGAATTTTTTAAAATTATATTCGACCTGGTACATATAAGAAATTCACCTATTTGGTATTTTATCATATTTTTCGGCGAGTATTATCATTTAATAAGCTAACATATTAGCTAATGTTGTTAAACGGCTCGTTTTGAGCAGATTTTTAAAAACGGCTAACTCAATATTTTCGCCAAATATTGACTAAGCCTCGAAATTTCGATACTATATGTCTAGACTTTTGCTTCTTCTATGAGCAAAATTTTCAGGCTTGCATATTTTTCTGGATAAAAAACTGAGTTAGCCGTTTTTAAAAATCGGCTCAACAGATATTTGGTATATTACAAATTGATACATAATATTTTGAGAATACACTATATTATTTGTATTTATAAAAAAAATAACTGATATTTTAATTAATAAAAAATATAACATATATTATATAATAATGTATTTAATCCTTTGCGTATTTAATCCATGGAAGGAAAACTATAATTATATTATGTAAAGATACTATGAGTGTTAGTTAGTGTTAACTTTCATCAAAAATTATATTAATCATAACTATATATAATCATTATAACCATATCTAATTGACGAATATAATAATTCATGTTATATAAATTTTTTAAAAAAATACAGCCCGGCCCGGGTATTCTAAAAAAAAATTTCAGGCTTGGCCCAGGTATATTTTAAAAATTTAAAATATGACCCGGCCCCGGTACCCAGGCCTTATATATTTAGTGAAATGAATAAAGTATTAGTATTTTTGTTAGAAGTACTTATTTAAATTTTTCACTTTTCAACTGGTCCCAGTGCCATATTCCTTCCATTCCATCAGTGAATTTCACCAATTCAATTTGTGTCCAATATTTTTTAAGATCACATTAGATTCCCATTTTCTTGTACTTTCATATATTCTGGCCCATACAGCCTGTCCTACTACAAATTCATTGATCTCATTTACCCCTGCTTCCACCTTTTTATCTAATTTCTGCTTCAATAAATCCATTAGATTCTAGGGTTCATCACCCTAAAAAATTCTCAGTTGGGATTGTTCTCATCTTATCCTTTGACTGTTATTGTAATAAGTCACTTCCTCCTAATTTCTCCTCTTCCATATTTCGTAACCAATTTTGGACAATTGCCACCATCTACCCTGACCATTTAAACTTATGTGATATGGCCTGCTAAAATAAGTACCTACCTAGTTTCTAGACAAAATAACTTGAACTGTTTGCATATGAACCTCCATCTAATACAATTATCTTCACCACACCCAAACTGTGCTGAAAGATTTTTAAGGTCTTATGTCATCCGAGTTGTCAACCCCTTCACATCTTCATACTGCACCCACTTGAAATAAAAATCCACCATAAGTATATATATTTTATTTCCAAAGTCAAAAAACCAATATGTATGTATTCCAATGGCTGTGTAGCCTTTAGCGAAATAAAATATTTTCAAAGTTCATTTATGCCAACACAGAATAAGCATTCAACTGGCTATAATAAATAATTGTTCAATATTATTAAAAATGGCCAAATTTTTCATCCCTGTACTAAAAAAATATCAAGAAAAAAATTATGATTATATATTTTAAAATTCAAGATATTTATCATTTTAGCTGTCAGTTAAAATTGAAATTATCACCCATCACTAATATATACTAAGTATTAGGCATCTCTGAATAAAATGTCATTTATAATAGTCTTCAATAGGCTGGTTTTATTGGTGGGCAGGTTAAAAAATTAAGCAGATGGGTGAGCCAAACTTTGTTTAACCTGGCCAGATATATATAAAAAAAATTAAAATTAATTTATTTTAGTAGAAGCTATTGAGTTTACAGTTTGTATATTAAAAGATATATGTTTCTTAGCGTAAACAAGCTTTTTAGGAAACAAATGCTGGTCCAGCATCAAAAATTTTACATAACCCTAATGATACCATTAATTCTAAACATTTCTTACCTAGAAGTGAGTTATTTATTAGATTAAAAGGTGAGCAGCGATTTCTGTGCTCTGATGTTAAACACATAAAGCAGTTGAATATTAATGTTTTGTCACAATCTATTCCAGATTCATACATGTTCCTTATTTCATGACAATTGCAAAATTCACATTTCTCGTTTTTGTATTCATCAATCTTTTTATAATGATCGTTAGGACATATATTACAAAAATTTCCTACAAAACCATTTTTACATACAGTACATAAAATTCTATTATTTGCTAATAAAGTAGGTTGTTAATTTTAACAATATTTTAATATACTATATAGACATTCTCCATTTGAATGAGATTTAAGACAGGGGCAGGGTTTACATTTGTTTCCTTCTAAATAAAATTGCGATTTACATTTATTACAATATTTGCCATCTTTTCTAGTCAAGCACAAACATTTCTTATAGTTTTGGCAGTTTTTAAACAGTGTAAGATTCATGTCATTGTCATTATCACAAAAACACAGATGAGAGCCTGCTAAGTAAGAAATGATAAATATATTTAATTTAATACCTGATATGTTTTCACAATAGTATACATATATATAATTGGCAATAATAGCATATAAAATTTTCATTTTCTTAACTTAAAAAGTACTGGTGCAACTAAACTGAGAATTGATAGGTAAACTGAGAATTGATAGGTAAACTGAGAATGGACAGGTAAACTGAAAATAGATATTAAAATATATTTTTTTATAGCCTATCAATTTTATTTTAAAAATATAAATAAAATGTTTTTATTAGGTAAATCAAATTTATCCATATTTAATTTTATCTAAATAAATAAAATAGATTATAGAAGGAATTTTAGTCCATAAATTTAAAATATGTATAGAATTGATATGTTAAATAGAAAATATAACATATTTTAAAAATCGTAAATATATTTCCTTTAGATGGCGTAATATATTTATAATTTAGTTTTTAATAGTGATGTTAAAAGTTACTTTTGAAACATAACTAGTTACAGTTACTAGTTACATTGACAAAAACATAACTAGTTACAGTTACTAGTTATATTTTTACAAAAGTAACTAGTTATTAGTTACAGTTATTTTCAAAAATAACTAGTTACTTACTTTATACATCCTTCATATGCGCATTATTTATTTATTGAATGCATTTATTTTATATAAAAAAATTTAGGATAAACAAAGTATAATCAGTTATTTAAAATAATATACAATTTATTTATATAAAAAAATATCGCAAAATTGAATATTTACATCGAATATAAAAATATATATTTGCATTGAAAAAAAAACATTTATTTTTCTTAAAAATTAGAATCTAATAAATGTTTATTTGCTTTTAACAACAAATTAATTTTAAAGTTATTATCTAGAAGACGTGCTCGTTTATCTCCAAAAATGAGCTTACCTAGACTGAATAAGCGCTCTACGGGAGCACTTGATGTTAGAACAACATTATATTTAATAAAGAGTAATTTTAACTTTGGAAAATCGTTATATAAAGAAAAAGTGTTGTTATTAGATTTGATAAAATTTTCTATAAGTTCATATTCCAGAATATTTTGGCGCTTTAGGTCAAAAAATCCAAATACATCAAATGATGTTGGTTTTGAGCATGATTCATTCGTCTGGGATTCAATTTGAGGTATTAAGATATTTATTAAATTTAAAATTTCCTCCTTTTTTGCTTTATTCCTTTCTTTTTAAAATATTTTATTTTTTTGACTCATTTTGTGTACATTACTCATATAATGAAAAAAAATTTAAGTTTCCGTCATTATTTGTTGAGTTATGATGTCAATTCTCAATTTAGTCAAAAATTTATTAGATTTTTGGGATTTTAAAAATATTATTTTTTTGACTCATTTTGTTTAAACCTATTCATATAAACATAATATGAAAAAAAATTTAGATTTCCATCAATATATTTTGAGTTTTGATGTCAATTCTCAGTTTAAGTAATTTATTAGATTTTTGGGATTTTAAAAATATTTTAGATTTTTTGACTCATTTTGTGTAAACATAATCATATAAACATAAAATGAAATAAATTTTAAGTTTCCATCATTATTTATTGAGTTATGATGTCAATTCTCAGTTTAGTCAATGTTTTTTAGATTTTAGGTATTTTAAAAATATTTTATTTTTTTGACTCATTTTGTGTAACCTTACTCATATAAACATAAAATGAAAAATTTAAGTTTCCGTCATTATTCTTTGAGTTATGATGTCAATTCTTAGTTTAGTAAAAAAAAATTATTTTTGAGATTTTTAAAATATTTTATTTTTTTTGACTCATTTTACGTAAACCTACTCATATAAACATAAAATAAAAAAAATTTTTAAGTTTCCGTCATTATTATTTGAGTTATGATGTCAATTCTTTTAGTAAAAAAAATTAGATTTTTATAATTTTTAAAATATTTTATTTTTTTTGACTCATTTTGTGTACATTACTCATAATATACATAATATGAAAAAAAATTTAAGTTTCCGTCATTATTTTTTGAGTTATGATGTCAATTCTCAGTTTAAGTAATTTTTTAGATTTTTGGGATTTTTAAAATATTTTATTTTTTGACTAATTTTGTGTAAACTTACTCAAATAAACATAAAATGAAAAAAACTTTAAGTTTCCATCAATATTTTTTGAGTTTTGATGTCTTCTCAGTTTACTCAAAAATTTATTAGATTTTTGGTAATATAAAAATATTTTATTTTTTTGACTCATTTTGTGTAACCTTACTCATATAAACATAAAATGGAAAAAAATTTAAGTTTCCATCATTATTCTTTGAGTTATGATGTCAATTCTTAGTTTAGTAAAAAAAAATTAGATTTTTATGATTTTTAAAATATTTTATTTTTTTGACTCATTTTGTGTATATTACTCATATAAACATAATATGAAAAAAAATTTAAGTTTCCGTCATTATTTTTTGAGTTATGATGTCAATTCTCAATTTAGTCAAAAATTTATTAGATTTTTGCGATTTTAAAAATATTATTTTTTTTTGACTCATTTTGTTTAAACCTACTCATATAAACATAATATGAAAAAAAATTTAGATTTCCATCAATATTTTTTGAGTTTTGATGTCAATTCTCAGTTTAAGTAATTTTTTAGATTTTTGGGATTTTAAAAATATTTTATTTTTTTTGACTCATTTTGTGTAAACATAATCATATAAACATAAAATGAAATATATTTTAAGTTTCCATCATTATTTTTTGAGTTATGATGTCAATTCTCAGTTTATTCAATGTTTTTTAGATTTTAGGTATTTTAAAAATATTTTATTTTTTTGACTCATTTGTGTAACCTTACTCATATAAACATAAAATGAAAAATTTAAGTTTCCGTCATTATTCTTTGAGTTATGATGTCAATTCTTAGTTTAGTAAAAAAAAATTTAGATTTTTGGGATTTTTAAAATATTTTATTTTTTTGACTTATTTTGTGTACATTACTCATATAAACATAATATGAAAAAAAAATTTAAGTTACCGTCTTCTTTGAGTTATGATGTCAATTCTTAGTTTACTCAAAAATTTATTAGATTTTTGGGATTTTAAAAATATTTTTTTTTGACTCATTTTGTTTAAACCTACTCATATAAGCATAAAATGGAAAAAAATTTAAGTTTCCGTCATTATTCTTTGAGTTATGATGTCTCCAGTTTACTCAAAAATTTATTAGATTTTTGGTATTTTAAAAATATTTTATTTTTTTGACTCATTTTGTGTAACCTTACTCATATAAACATAAAATGGAAAAAAATTTAAGTTTCCATCATTAATTTTTGAGTTTTGATGTCAATTCTCAGTTTACTCAAAAATTTATTAGATTTTTGGTATTTTAAAAATATTTTATTTTTTTGACTCATTTTGTGTAACCTAACTCATATAAACATAAAATGGAAAAAAATTTAAGTTTCCGTCATTATTCTTTGAGTTATGATGTCAATTCTTAGTTTACTCAAAAATTTATTAGATTTTTGGGATTTTAAAAATATTTTTTTTTGACTCATTTTGTTTAAACCTACTCATATAAGCATAATATGAAAAAAAATTTAAGTTTCCATCATTAATTTTTGAGTTTTGATGTCAATTCTCAGTTTACTCAAAAATTTATTAGATTTTTGGTATTTTAAAAATATTTCATTTTTTTGACTCATTTTGTGTAAACCTACTCACATAATAAACATAAAATGAAAAATATTTTAAGTTTCCGTCATTATTTTTTGAGTTATGATGTCAATTCTCAGTTTACTCAAAAATTTATTAGATTTTTGGTATTTTAAAAATATTTTATTTTTTTGACTCATTTTGTGTAAACCTACTCACATAATAAACATAAAATGAAAAATATTTTAAGTTTCCATCATTATTTTTTGAATCTGCCCCACCCCCCGCTGCGTACGCGCCTGAAATTAGATATGTTGTAACTTGTAAATATAGGGTCATTTATATGTCAATTTTAGTTAAAATTTTTTTGATTTTTGAGATTTTAAAAATATTTTATTTTTTGACTCATTTTGTGTAAACATACTCATATAAACATAAAATGAAATAAATTTTAAGTTTCCATCATTATCTTCTGAGTTATGATGTCAATTCTCAGTTTAGTCAATGTTTTTTAGATTTTAGGTATTTTAAAAATATTTTATTTTTTTGACTCATTTTATGTAACCTTACTCATATAAACATAAAATGGGAAAAAATTTAAGTTTCCGTCATTATTCTTTGAGTTATGATGTCAATTCTTAGGTAAAAAAATTTAGATTTTTGGGATTTTTAAAATATTTTATTTTTTTGACTCATTTTGTGTACATTTCTCATATAAACATAATATGAAAAAAAATTTAAGTTTCCGTCATTATTTTTTGAGTTATGATGTCAATTCTCAGTTTAAGTAATTTTTTAGATTTTTGGGATTTTTAAAATATTTTATTTTTTGACTAAATTTGTGTAAACTTACTCAAATAAACATAAAATGAAAAAAAATTTAAGTTTCCGTCATTATTTTTGAGTTATGATGTCAATTCTCAGTTTAGTCATAAATTTATTAGATTTTTAGTATTTTTAAAATATTTTATTTTCTGACTAATTTTGTGTAAACTTACTCATGTAAACATAAAATGAAAAAAAATTTAAGTTTCTGTCATTATTTTTTGAGTTATGATGTCAATTCTCAATTTAATCAATATTTTTTAGATTTTTGTGATTTTAAAAATATTTTATTTTTTTGACTCATTTTGTGTAAACCTACTCATATAAACATAAAATGAAAAAAATTTTAAGTTTCCATCATTATTTTTTGAGTTTTGATGTCAATTATCAGTTTAATCAAAATTTTTTTTTTAGGATTTTAAAAATATTTTATTTTTTTGACTCATTTTGTGTAAACCTACTCATATAAACATAAAATGAAAAAAATTTAAGTTTCCATCATTATTTTTTGAGTTTTGATGTCAATTCTCAGTTCAAATTTTTTAGATTTTTGGGATTTTTAAAATATTTTATTTTTTGTCTTATTTTGTGTAAACTTACTCATATAAACATAAAATGAAAAAAATTTTAAGTTTCCGTCATTATTTTTTGAGTTATGACATGAATTGTAAAACTAGTTTACTTCATT